GTCCCTTTGCCAAGATAACCGATACCTCGAGCAAACAGCCGACGGGAAGCATTACGAGCACGGCGTCACGCTTACAATGTGTTCGCTTCTATGGATTCAACTGTATTTCCCCAGTTCGTGCGGCCTTCGCCGTAATAAGCCACCGAACGCACATGTACGATATTTTCAATTCCCTTCGTTACGCTCTGTAATTGCTTCGAATCTTTTCCAACGTTGTACCGTTGTTGCTTTTTCCTTTTATCGCGACCATACTAACGCGACGCCCAGCGAAACCAACGTGCTATGCGACACGGTAACGTTAGTCGTTATCAACGAGTTGCGATAGATATTACGCGCGACTAAATTTCTGAACGAAAGGCGTTGGCTACAACCTTCGTGATTTTTCGGCCGCAATAAATATTCCTGAATAGTCTCTTTTCTTCGATAAGAAATTAAGCGTTCAAGGCGTGGTATAATTGGAGCGGCTTCTCAAACGCCAGCCCTTGTCCGAATGTTCGAATCACGCGATCGATTTCAGCCGACCGCAAACCGCGTAATTATCCGTTGTTTTGATCGGCCCTGAACCTTCGGACGAACCCCGAACGTTGCATGAAAATTTCTTAGCTACGAGCAGCGACGAATAGAAATAAAATTCTGTCGAAGTTTCGACGAAGAAAAAGAGAGGGCAATGGTATAATTGGCAAGATTTCGGATCGGGACTGTTTATCGACGCGATCGAAGCACAATCGGTTGAAAGCGGAGCGTACGCTATCACGAAGACGAGCTCGCGGTGCAGCCCACGGAACGGCAGAAATTCCATGTTCTCGCATATCCCACTAATGGCCTGCTCGAAGATCAACGACGCAGCATCGACGATCGTTGGATTTTTGTCGCGGTGGAAATCCGTGCCGGCAAAGCACGAGGACACCGGCTGCAACGAGTCATGGCGCCTGTTCGCGCATTGCATTACCTATTCATGAGTGGAACGTGCGTTCTCCTATGGTGCACGCGACTATTCGTTCTCGTACGCCGTGCAGCGCAGCCATCACGTCCTACCGACAACGATTCTACTCAATAACGGAGCTATTCGTGCGATGGTAATTTCAATGGAATTAAAATCTTGCCGATGCTACTTCCAAGAAACGCGCCCGTAAATTACGGAACGAACGATCATCGGACGAATATGAAAAATATTTCCTCCGCATCGAACGTCGATGCGATGCTACCGTCGACTCCACAAAGTGGACCAAGCGTACGTCCGTTAGATCGCATCGTCCGTGCAGTTATCGCGATTGACCCGATTTCTCGAACACCGTAGTTTGGTAGACTAAAAATGAATCCATCGGTCGACGTATGGAAGTAATTTCCTGTGGCGTGGCATCGTCGATCCGTGACGGATTGCCTCGCGACTCTGACGCACGGCGAATTACCCGCCACTTTCACCGATTTTCCTTCGTCAAAGGGAATAGCAGCAGTAAACTGGAATTCCTTAAAGGACACGACGGGTAGTCGATGTATCCAGCTCGGCTGTGCGCGCATACGTACGCGGGAAGCGTGCAAAAGTGCGTGCGTATGCGTAACTAACCGCTCGCGCGCGGGTCAATGCCTCGGCTGTCCTCCTCGAGTATGTATCCACATCCAGCTAGTCGACGCGACGCGACGCGACGAGACGGCTACCTTCGCTACTACGTTATTGCCGGTACCGCGTTCAAGATCGTTTTGATCGGCCCTGAACCTTCGGACGAACCCCGAACGTTGCATGAAAATTTCTTAGCTACGAGCAGCGACGAATAGAAATAAAATTCTGTCGAAGTTTCGACGAAGAAAAAGAGAGGGCAATGGTATAATTGGCAAGATTTCGGATCGGGACTGTTTATCGACGCGATCGAAGCACAATCGGTTGAAAGCGGAGCGTACGCTATCACGAAGACGAGCTCGCGGTGCAGCCCACGGAACGGCAGAAATTCCATGTTCTCGCATATCCCACTAATGGCCTGCTCGAAGATCAACGACGCAGCATCGACGATCGTTGGATTTTTGTCGCGGTGGAAATCCGTGCCGGCAAAGCACGAGGACACCGGCTGCAACGAGTCATGGCGCCTGTTCGCGCATTGCATTACCTATTCATGAGTGGAACGTGCGTTCTCCTATGGTGCACGCGACTATTCGTTCTCGTACGCCGTGCAGCGCAGCCATCACGTCCTACCGACAACGATTCTACTCAATAACGGAGCTATTCGTGCGATGGTAATTTCAATGGAATTAAAATCTTGCCGATGCTACTTCCAAGAAACGCGCCCGTAAATTACGGAACGAACGATCATCGGACGAATATGAAAAATATTTCCTCCGCATCGAACGTCGATGCGATGCTACCGTCGACTCCACAAAGTGGACCAAGCGTACGTCCGTTAGATCGCATCGTCCGTGCAGTTATCGCGATTGACCCGATTTCTCGAACACCGTAGTTTGGTAGACTAAAAATGAATCCATCGGTCGACGTATGGAAGTAATTTCCTGTGGCGTGGCATCGTCGATCCGTGACGGATTGCCTCGCGACTCTGACGCACGGCGAATTACCCGCCACTTTCACCGATTTTCCTTCGTCAAAGGGAATAGCAGCAGTAAACTGGAATTCCTTAAAGGACACGACGGGTAGTCGATGTATCCAGCTCGGCTGTGCGCGCATACGTACGCGGGAAGCGTGCAAAAGTGCGTGCGTATGCGTAACTAACCGCTCGCGCGCGGGTCAATGCCTCGGCTGTCCTCCTCGAGTATGTATCCACATCCAGCTAGTCGACGCGACGCGACGCGACGAGACGGCTACCTTCGCTACTACGTTATTGCCGGTACCGCGTTCAAGATCACCGAGCTGACGAGCACGCGTTCCGTATGCACGCTCGACGTTTCCGCGAGCCGCGAGGCGGCCCTCTTTGACGCGCGAACAATCATCGTGACTGCTCTCCGGCCGGTGAAACAACATTTTTCAAGATTAATGATGATGAGCAGGACATTGGATTCGGTACGATTCGTTGACAGCAACGAACGTCAACTTCTTAACGCGGTTCAGACCGCGAGACCATTCGTACCAAAAATAGTGAGCAGTGAATCGAACATCGACGTCGCCTTACATGATTTCCAGCTTCGCGAACGACTGGATTATCCCGACCACGGGGAAACTATTCGCGTGCATGAAATTATGTTTGTACCGCTCGTATATAGAGCACCGTAGGAAAATTAACAATCCTCGCGATCACGATATTTTAACGCTCGATAATTATCACGAAACGCCAATTAAATACGACGACATCCAGTTGCTTGTGGTACGTGCACGCACGTTTGCCGGACTATCATCGCTCAAGTGTTAATGCGTTAATGGCACCTCCGCAATTACTAGTCACGGAACAACGATGGAACTCGAAAGTAAAGTATTAGTAATATGCTTACGTCGTGAAAGGATATACTTCCTACGTTCACGTCTCCGAGAGCAAAGGTTCAGATCGAACGTTGACGGGTCAACGACAACGTTTACCTTTACTCGTGTACCTACGTGTGATGTACGGTCGATTAAATTACGCGATAAGCGGTACGAATTAATTTCTGAGCTCGTTCTCGTAAATCTTGCGGAAATACAGGCTACAAAACTGTCTAGTATTTCTTTGGAAATTCGCATAAAAAAGTGCGAAGCGCTGAATAATTCTTAAAACGTTGCTGCATCGATTGCTTCGGCAATGAAAACCACTTTCTGACGGTTCGATTATAATACTTTAAAGTCATCATCGCTGATAGCAGTACTTACACGAGGGAATTACTCGAATCGACACGATTCGTGGCAACCCGTAAGGTCAGGACGAGCTTGCCGAACATTACCAGCATACTTCTGATCGAGTCGGGGAGACGAAGAAGAAGTAGCAACCGTCCCTCTTTCGATATACCGCTTCTTCGTGATCGTGGTAATCGTGACTCCTATTATTATCCTGGCCAACCCACGAAATAAAGTATCCTCGACTCGTGTCCTCGCGGTGCACGTCGTTCTTCGAGTGGAACCGTTGCATTACGTCGCATCGGACCGTGAAAACTTAATACACCACCAAACAATGTTGTTCACCTGGGATCTATCCGGATAACTTGGTCTCTACATAAAACATATCGTAGACATCGATAAAAGAATTAATATTTTTTATCTGTGTCCAAGAATTTGGGGTGGGTGTCGAATTATTTGACTGTAACGAAACACTGAATTAGTTCCAGTGTTATAGTTCGCACTCGATCCCTCGGAACAATCTAAATATTGCTCAACGCGTAATCACCCAGCCAACTCCTAACGAAGTGTGAAAGTCCATAATTAATAAAATCGTTGTTCCGAACTCGTTAGGCTAATTATTATTGTGTGGCCGGGACGGGATTGACGCAAACGCGTTACAGCAGGGATAAGAATTTGTTGTGGGTTGGCATCCGTACTTCCCACAATGCGATAAATCGCGGAATCGATAGCCGTAAACCGTGTGATTCGGTACGACCTAGCGGAAACAAATTTTAGACGGTCGCGTTACAAATGTGATCGAAACGAAACACGGTAGACTCCGCTGGTATTCGTCTCCGTTGCCGCGGAACGAAACGAGTGAGCGAGGTACCGTTTGAAAATTCCACGGATGAAATTCTCCAGAGTCGTTCCGTGGAATGGACGAGCGTCGGACACGTACAACTTCCCAATTAACTGTATCGTTGACCAATAATCTCGAGGATGTAAATGAAACGACGAAAACACGGCATGGAATCCGTGCTATTCTACTCCCTCCTCGTCAAAGTATTCAAAAATAATTACCATGTAAATTATCTCGTCTCTTCCCGTTTCGTCGACATAAACATACCGCTTACAGGTATTTCGATAACTTCGGATATAACAGTAGGATCGAAAAAAATGTCCAAGTCGCTCGATCATGTTCGACGTACGTCGATGCTGCAGGAAAAGCAGAGAAAACGAAAACCGAATTAACAGAGCATCGTTTCGTTTGTTTCAGCGAGACGGACATGGCTCCGAACGCAGAGGAGGAGTTACTGGTGGTAAAACCATGGGGACCGCAACCGGAAAAGGTAAGTAACTGATACTTACATCGAAAGGATCGCGTCGCCGATAACGAGAGTCACCGAACAAGATAAAAACTGTCTAATAGTGTGATGCCGATGCATTTGCGGTGCACAGGATGCTTTTGATTAGCATATCTCTCAACACTGATCGATATATGTATAGAGTATAGATAAGAGCACAAAGTTTTGCTCGATCGTTTTGTTCGTATCGCACCGTGAGAATCGCGTCGTGTTCACGGATAAACGATAAACAACTTCGAAATGTGTTAAAGGAACAACATTACGGGTGGTTAATCTCTCAGAATTGGCTCGTTTTCTGTCATTATATCGCCAATATTAATCTGTCTGTGGTAATCGTCGATAAAGCCGCCCTATTACGTATGCGTCGTGCTCGTCGCTCGGTTTTCTCGTAATTATCGATGCGTCGCGTAATGAAATTCTCATAGAGGATCTCGATGTTGCGGCATTTTTACGGCGGACACCCTTAAACGGGTACTAGCGACTCGTTACAAATGCAAAATGAGATTCTTCCGCTCGTTGGAATTTAGGAATGATCGAGCATTAATTTACGATACGAAAGCGATTTCCATCCGAAATTAATGAAACGATCCGAACGCGAAAACAATTTCATGAATATTCGTATAGCTTCGCTGATTAATTACCATTACCTCGACGTATTTGTAAAACGCGGTTTTGTCAAGTGTTCGTACCACCGTCAAACACTTGATTATTATTATTAGCCGATTCTGAATGGTCGAAACGATCGTTCGTCTCGAGTTTCGCCGAGCCACGATTTTAATACTCACGCTTTGCATTAACTCGCGCTACTCGCGAATGCATTGAATTCTGCGCGTTCGTAATGGCTCCGCCGACATTTATACGCGTCGCAAAACTGCGAGGGAGGTAATTAGTCACGGATAATATGATTAATATCGAGAAGAGGCCACGGTCCGCCGTATTAACCCTTTCGAGTTGCACGCTCTTGCATTCCGTTCGAATTGTTTCTGCGTGCACGCGACAACGCGTTTTTCTTTCTCTTCCTGCCGCGATCAAATTTTCGAGCGATCCCCGTTGAATCGCGAGCAATCCTTGACCTTAATCGAAGACCTCGTTGTCTGCATTTTCTTATTCAAAACGATTGTTACATTATCCGCTAATGAGAGCCGCGTCTCGTTACAATGGAACGTGTCTAATGAAACGCGGAGTCGAGTCGCCCGTTACAATTCTTGATTCGAGTGCTCGTGAAAGTCGAGACTTTTACCGGGATTCGAATTCTTCACTCTAATTGAATAAAATGTGAAAAGAAGACGCGTTGAAATTGGATCGAGTTCGACGATTCTCTACGAGCAGACTTCTCGAAAGCTTCGTTCGAATTACATCCGTGCATACACGTGGTCCGTAGGTTGCGCGTAAGCGAAATTTCTTTTGTTTCGCGCGAATCTTCCGAGTGCCGACACATTATTTTAGTTGACCAGACGCCTAATTACGTGCATAATTGCCACGGTTACGACTAAACACCCCTTCTCTTTAACGATTTCCTGCTCGAAGATCCCGTTCCAGCCGTTCAACCGAACGAAAAGGAAAAAACTGAAACATGATTGATCTCTGCAGCACATCTCTACTCTATCATGATCGCCATTAGACAATTTACGTACGTGTCCGTGGTATCCGTGGCCGTATATCCCGGAAAGGAACTCTAATTACTTTATTGCCCGTCGAAAAATGCATCGTTATAGGGAAGCTCGGTATTCATCAGACGATGATGGTCCATCAGCGTCCTTCGTCGATGCCGGTTCACGAACGAGCGTATGATTGATCGCGACTCTCGACGACCTCGATCGTCCTATCAAATATTTAGTCAACCCCATTGCTCCCAAATTATGAACCGACACTCTGCAAACAGAATTCTAAGTACGCCGATGGTCACCCGATTCTGTAATTTCTCCGTCGTTCTAAATTAGAAAAATATCAATTTTAAATGTCATGGTGGTTTTCCCCGCATCTTTTCATGTATGAAAAATCGAGCGACCGCGAAATAGAAACTTGATTTCTTGCGCAAACTTGACCGATTAACCGCTTCCAATCGAAACCACACTCGACCGAGCGATTTAATTTACACAAAACGTTCCAGGTATGCTTGAATTGCTGTTTAGAAAGCGATCACGCGGCCTTCGGCGCAAATTGACCGGATAAATAGTTGTTGAATTCTGCCCACTCGGCCATTGTAACCTACTGTGCGTTTCAGAACGTCAAATACTTGAAGGCTTCGAAGCGAGACTTAATCGGTTTCGGGACGATCGCTCGCGATTACTCGGGTTTGTTGGTTTCCGCCGATAAAACGGGAGTCGAAGGCGGTAAATTAATTTTCACGATCGATCCATGTTTCAACGGGGAATCAATCCCCATGGCAGCATTACCTACACTCTAGACCGCAACCTATGGGCCACGAGACTATAATCACTATAATCCTATCAATTTATGGTTGCGAGCACCGTGAAATTAACTACTCCCACTCGTTTCTATCTCTCGTGCGAGTACTTCGGAACTAAGTAACATATACAAATTATTCGTTCTGTTTTGTTATAAAATTGAAACGAATAGAAAATACGCGGTTGAAGATTGTCGCGCGAGTATTCCTAATTAAACGCGTAAAATTATTTTGGCGAATCTATGCTGATTAGAAGGAAGTTTTATCGGTATCACCGTAATTTATTCCGATGGATTCGTTCGTAAGATCACAGTCGCGATACGGTTTCCAGCGTTTTTCTAGAGCGATACGAACGCGTAATTACGACTGTAGACTTTGCGATTTTATTTGCAGGAGCGATTAAGACCGCCCACGTACAACGCGGAGGACTACGCGATCGCCTTGAGACGATGGGGAAGACGTCCATTAGGAAGTGTTCAAGACTCGCAGGGCACCTTGCCGTCGACAACCAGTTCGAGTTCCGGTTACGCTTCCGGAAGCGGCGAGATGACCTTGAGACAATTCACGTCGGTCAGCGAGCTTCTGAACAAGCTCAGAGCTGACCTGAGGCTGGCATTTCCAAGGTTAGTGCATCCTCGACCAGCTCGAAATTAGAAACGAGCGATCTCGCTTTCGAATAGAAATTTTTTAACGTTACTTCACGGCACGAGGAAGCACGCGTATTCGATTGTCCGTGAACAATTAAACGAAGCGATCGTACGAGAAAATTTCCGCTCTCTTGCTGGAACTAACGACAAGAGCATCTTAAAAATCGGCGATACCGATCGAACAGGAAAGAGTTCAAGCCAGCTCGAACGGGCCAGGAATTACAGTTGCTTTTTATGAATTATTTCTACAGGAGAGCCTGTTCGATTTTTGATTCGCGAGAGTTCTTCCTCGTTTCCAATTTATATCGTAAAAGAAAAAAGCGGAAATTACGTTGTGGATCATGAGAAAATGCAACGAATCGTGAATCATGACAGGTTCGATTTCTTATCTAATTAATTTTCGTTAATTACTCGTCAATTATATGGTCAAAGATTGAATTACTTCGATACGGTAGTTTTGATCGAAGTTTTCTCATCCGTGTTTTTACTCTCATTCCGATGTTCATCGTATACTCTATTTCAATAAATGCGTTTCACCGCATTCGAGGATAGCATTAACTATTTGGCAGAAAGAAGGCGCGAAAGATCGGTCATCCATCATCTTGACACCTGGCTCGTTGGTAAAAAGCTTTCTCGCAATAGGTTCGTTTTTACGCGGTTGCTCGTTGTTGATAGAATTACCGAAGGAACGAGTTTCCTCGGTGGTTCGAGCACAACTCGAATAAATAATAGTTTGATTCCTGTTAGGCGCCAGAATGATTAAAGATCAAACGTAAACGCGGAGATTTGTTTCTGGATGTCCGGTGTCTCATAGATGCAATTCGAAAGATCGACGATGTTTGCCTCGAAGTTGTTGCCCGAGGCAAGTTCGTACATACACACGCGTTCATTTATAACGCGTCTAATCACGACCGTTAGACACAAGCTTAATTGACTCGGGCGATAGAGTTACGATTTTCTCTGCTCTTCCTGTGTCGAGATTCGTATCGGTCTGTACGAGATTGAATCTCGCTCACAACCACCGGATCGTTTTCTATCGACGATAACTTTTAATTCGACGATGTGTTCGTGTTCGTTTCGCGTTTGCCAACATTTCAATTACACATATAACGTTGACGATCGTTCGAACACGCTGAACAAACGTATGGTTACCGACCAACAAATTAGAAGCAACCGTAGTAAAACGATTTTCTTAAGGGAACTTTACGCGTTTACGCGTGTTACAGGATACGTCGATCAACGACTATAATTACCGATATACACCGGGTGTTTACAGGTTCGCCAAAATACACGAGTTATTTGGACAGCTCGCGAAATCGGTCGTTCGAGAGCGGACGGTAGCGTCTATTAGCTGTCAAAGTGCAGGAAAGAGTCACATTGAAAGCATCGAAAAGCGTTCTGATAATATTCTTGAACTAACCGTTGGCCGATCGGCGTGCTCGTTTACTCTTATTAAGCGCAATTTCAACATGCACATCGGTGCACAATTTGCGGCGAACGGATATACCAACGACGCGGTGCGGCGCGGTGCGGCAAGAACTGCGGCCTGCATAGATGAAAATGATTCTAATCACGAGCCGACGAATGTAAAAGGACAGAGAGGCAAGAACGAGCTGTCGGTGGTCGTCTAGAGATGGTTCTCGTAAAAAAAAAATAGAAAAACCGGGCTATGCATGCGCGGCGTGTGAAGGATAACATCGTGTTCGAGCTTCCTTGGCCGAGCGCGCGTTTAACCACGCGACCGGCGCAATTTGCGAGCGGAGGCCTACGGCCGTTCTAAAATTAAAGTTACCGTATACCCCGTAGCCGTTTCTCCATTAACGAACGGTTTAGAGACCGATCGACGTGTCGCGATCGACAGGAATGAACGATGTAACCCCGTTACGAACTTCGATGCGGTCCTCGGTGTCACACTTTTCTTCCGTCGATTCTTAGACAGCTGCCAACCTTTCCGAACAATCAACGAATGTCCATATGTTCGACGAGATTGTCCTACATATTCGCGTTACGTTTACAAATTGTCTCGACAATTTCTTATTCTTTCAAGGAATATCGTTTATGTTCGATAGCGATTTTAATTCGATGATAGCTGGCGTTTCTTATAAAGCACCGACGAGGAACTTGAAGGACCTTCCTGTTCACCGAAGAAGGTCTACGTTGCAACAGAGTGCACATAAGTGACTCGTAACGCTAGAGAAGTTTCTTATACGACGCCTAGATTAGCCGCAAATAACGGCCCCGGATCGACGAATGTCGATATTACGAATAACTGTACCGGCTGGCCGAGCGTGGTCAATGCGCAAATCGATCTAGATGAAGCATATCCTCGAGTTTCACGATTGAATCGTGTATCGTTTGTCGGAATCTTATTAGAGCGTTTAACCGGAATTTTGTTACATCGTTTTTGCCAATGTTCCGACTGACGGAATCGATTTAGTTTCCAAGCGATCGTAATAATTGACTGTCTAGAACGATTACGTCCACGTTTCTTATGTACTTTGAAATTTCTGCCCGGAACGTGCGCGTTTTCTAGATACGTTGTGATCTCGCTGAAGTTTATGAGCCGACAAGAGTGTCGAGAATAAACTATTTTTCTCGAATTTTAGGTTGCTCGTAAAACGATATCCGGTCGAAGAAGATTTTTGCTTTTTCCTCCGCACGCTGTGCAGTTCTACCGTTTGAACGAACTTTCATCGGGAACACGCTTGTTTTTATCGTTTCTGGATATCACCTAGGCTCAAGGCGCGTGCTGCTTCGTTAATGAAAAGCTGGCGCGTTATAATGCCCTGAACAGCTGGCCACCGAAGCAAGAAAGGAAGAAAAGAATTGGCGGACCGCGTCGAGTTACTATCGGCTATTAACCCAAGCACTCGACGTTTAATTAGGCATTTGTATTGCTCTAATTACCCTAGTGGTTTGCGTTTCGAGACAAAACGATGTTAGACAAGTGCGCTTTTTTAAAGAACCGCGCAACAGATTTGTCATTGAAATACACGAAAGAGTGAAAAGAAGATACAGAAAGAACACGTGACTCGTATCGACGTTTCCTGCTGAATTTGAAAAGACTCGCGTGTCCGTTGGTCCTTGTTATGCGAATCAGGCTACCTTTCCATTGATATTCCTCGTGGTCAGCACCTTTTTTCCATCATTGTTACTTTAAACCGTTAATAGCTTTCAAAGAATCGCTTTCGATCCATTCATAAAATTCGCATCCATCCTTCGTATGCCAGAAACGAATGTTCGCCACAATAGAAGGCGTTGTACCTTGAACCTGCCGATGAACGTCAGCTTCCATTGGCGTAAGCAGTATCGCCGTCTCTTACTATAGAAATATCCAAGTGGTCGAAATTTTTCTGAAGACAGAACCCGCTACACGGTTACGCGAATATCTGATTATCCGAGAAGAGATCGGTTTTATTTATTCGTACGCGCCGAGATTACACGGTATACGATAAAATCGTACGCAACAGTTTTAATTGAACCGAAACTCGAACCGCGTAACTGGTTGGATAAAAAGGAAGAGACCCATGGTCGTGAAATTTATACGATGTATTTTGTATAAAGCGGTCTGCTTCTCCCTTTTTCCGTTTCCACGCGAAGGAATATCAACCGCGTCGAAGAAGCCTCGACCGGCCACCGAACCCACGATACCCCACGATGCTTCCGGTTCGCGTAACAGCGAATGCGTAACTGCTTCCTACTTAATGAAAACCAAGGAAGTCTTTCTCTCTCTCTCTTTCTTCTTACGCACATATATATTTTTTTCCACGCCGTATCAGATCCCGTTTCAGCTTCTTATACGGAGCGATGCATCGTGATCGAAGTAGATACTTTCGCCAGACACCCGATTGTCCTCCAAACAGATCATGAAACGCGTTTATCTCTCGACGCGTCACGTTTCCTCGGTTCGTCAACCTATTCGTATCAATTCGAACAAACTCGTACACGTATGTATATTGAACTTGCTCTTCGAAGAACGTAAAGTCAAGTTCAAGCTTCTTAGAGGCCAGTCGGTTCTGCGTTCGACGTAGAACGCGTTTCGATTCGACCGAGTGCATTTGGTAAGTGGTTTTAGAGCAGGCGTTCTTTGTCCTGGCAAAGAATATGTGCACGAGTGGCTTGCATATTATTTCCTCGTTTATTTACGACCGTGGTTTATGTCGCGTATACGAACAACGATAAAGTATTACGACGCGAAGGGATCAGAACGCGCGTTTATCGTTACCGTTTTTGTACTTCGCGGATGTTTACACGAATCGAAAGATGCTTTATATTATTTCGATTGTATCGGTGTTAAGCAATTTTCATTCCTTTTATAGTACGATGCTCGATAGTTTTCTCACTTTCCAAAGACCTTCTCGCCAGCCGAAGATAAAAGGAAAGAATGAAAAGGAGCACACGGATTATGTAACATTTTCAAAGCAGAGAGCAAAAAATGTCGCGTGAAAGAGAAACGTTTCAGCCTTTCGTTTTCTCGTGTTCGTGTCGTCCGTCGCGCTGAATTTTAGGGTGTGCCCACACAACCGGCCAATAAGGAACACTTGATATTCACGTCGCGTCCGCCGTAGGCATTCTTACGTGCACGCCGTAGTCTGCATAATGCGGGGTGTAATATAATGCACCCATTGCTGGCCGAAGCATCGTATGATGTCTCCAGGAAAGCGTGTTTTCGATAGCCGTTCTCCTTGGAACAAATTCCTCTTTATCTTCTATTCTTGTCTGCCTGTCGCGCGAAACTCTTCCACGTTCGCTGCACGAATAATACCGTATTTGAACAATTTGGACACCGCGAACTTTAGAATACCTTCGAATTGACGCGTAACACGCTCCGGAAGAATGGCTACGTTACACTCGAGTGTACTTAGAAATTCAAACGGGAGTGTTTAAGACGAATCCGAGAAAAGCGACGTACCGGTGATCGCGGCGTGAATCGTAATACCCTGGTGTATTTTACGCGCGCGCGTACACGCGCGAGTATCGCGATACGCCGTGCGGTATGCATAACACGACAGGTAACATAATGCATCTATTGTTAGAAGACAACTCTTTCTCTCTTTCTCCCTTGGCCGCTTTTAAAGGCCGTCGGTAAATAGGCGACGACTACATAGTCGGATACATAGAAAACGTTTTAATACTCATTTGCATGCATTCAACTGGCGTTACGGCGCTTATATACGATGTTTATAGAGTCACCGTCTAGACTCTAGACGAACGTCTTTCCGAACAGCTTTTTCCGTTCTAAGGCCTCTCGGCTACGTGCCGCGAACGATTTACGACTGTTTGTCCAAGTTCGCGATAAAAATTTCTCGTACGAGCGAGCGTTTATAAACTCGAAATTCCTGCGAGAAACTTCTCGGACACGCGGGATTTTCAAGAAAAATTCGCCGGGTTGTATAGTGAGCGACTGCGTCGAATAATTGGCCGAAGACGAGTGGTAATGCTCGAAAAACATCCGGGTCAATGTCGATTTATCGGTCGTTCGCGTCTCTCCCTTTATTTTTCCGCATTCTGACGACACCAGAATAACGGAACACGCGATATTTCAGATAACGTACCGATCGACCGGTCATTCTGCTTTTTGTCACTTTCTCGTACCTCGGAATTCGACAGTAGAGTCGAAGGTTCGTTCGTTGAACTCGCGTTAGCTTGTTTCGCGCATTTGCCGATCGAGAAATACGATGGAATTGCATAACGCGCACGCACACGTAGAAAGTGACAAAAGCATCGGTTGCAAGAAAATTCTCACGGCAGCGAACAGAGAAACTGCTGTAAGGTGTACAAAGCCGATGGCCTGGCTGGTGCATCGAGGGGCTACACGTGTCCCGGCTGTATAATTAAGGAAACTAACGTGACACGATCAAAGATAGCTCTCGTCCATTACGAGGATTCCATTCGAACTAAACGCGAACAAGAAACGCGATTTCCACCTCTGCAACAAACTCTCTTCCTCTCCGGCTCTGTCACCGTTTGACAGTAGTAATATCTATTTCCTCGTCCTTGCACCTGTCTACCTTAAGGCCATCACACTCGTATCCACCTGTTCAATGTGCTTGTAGCGGAAGAACTATCGTCTTGTTCTTCCTCTTCCTTCTCCTCTACCTTTTCTTTTGGAAATTAATTTTATGTTTAGGGAAAACCATACGCTAACGAGCGGATTACGCGCCGAACGATAAACGTGAGGAAATCCTACCATTTTCGTTGCCATTTGTGTCAACTGACACTTAAAACATACTGAAAATCGATAAGGCGATGCACGAGAGAACGATACGCCTACGAACGGCCGATCCAATGCTTGGCTGTACAACGTGCAACGGTGCGACGCATTGCGATAGAATGCGTTAGAAAAGTCAAGGCAATTCTCTCCTTGAAAATTAATGCTTGATAATTTATGGAAGTCGTACGCGTAACGCGATGTTCCGATAATTGGGAGGGTGTGTAAATGTTATTGAAATATACTTTCCTGTCCAGTTCCTATGTATTTACTTTGTTAACAGTTACCGACTTTTTGCCTCGTCACTCTTATAATCGTTCCGTTGACAACGTCAAAGGAACTTGCTTACCAGTGCACCTATAAAACCGGATTGGTTTTTCTCTTAATCGCAAGGTCCCATAATTATGTAATTATACTTTTTCTTCCTTTCTCTGTCACCGGTTCAATGCCTGTTGCGCGTGCGATCGCTTCTCTTCAAGGTAAACGTACTTATACGTTCGTTTCGTTCCGCTATCGATACCCTTCCGGTTCGAGGCCGTGTCAAATCGAATAGAACTTCGGTCGATACCTTGTATAACTTGCCGTGTTTTTCTTACGACTCCAGATACAACCACTTCGACTGAAATTCTTTGCACGCTTTAATAACGCCGTCCTTTTTTCTATCAGTTTTGTCCAGGAATTCGCTTCACCACCCGCCGACGGGATTACTTTGCTACTGGAAACACTTCGAGGCGTACAACTTGCCCAAAGTTCACCACCCTCTTCCGGTCACACGGGACCGAGAGTCGGCACTAGAAGAGCTGCTCTGGACGAGTTGGGTTGCGTCGAGTGCCTGGCTGCATGCGCGGAACGATGCACAGATGCACCGAGGCTCCTGGTGCAAGCTCAACCGGGTCTTCTTGCTCTGGCAGTTTGTCTGACTAGTAGCTTGAACCGGTCCCGAGTCCTCGCACTCCAGGTAACAATCGTCACTTCCGTTCCGGCTGCCACGGTACTGTTAATCAAAAAAGATCGCGAGCAAAATCGTGCGTGCAGCATTTACATTCGTCGTATGTTTCTTCGACACCTTTCTTACAGATATACTCCTATAAGTATTATAAACTGACAGATAATCCAAGTCTAATCCGAGTTGGTCAAATACAATAATCGTACTTAATCCCGAAATATTTGCTCCGCGTTAAAAGATAATTATATTTTTCGCGTCGTTGAGATTACAGATATAATTAACCAACTCGTAGAGTATAGTGGGTCGATCTTGCTGTATTTTGCGCGCGTACAGGCTCGTTACGTCTCTGACCTATTGAGATAGTCGTAAACGCTCGTATCCAGTAAACTCGGTCCACTTGACGAGCCGTAACCCGTTATTTTGAGAGTGCTCGCTGTCAAAACCAGTTTTTATCGTCTATCCGAACGTTATTCGGCCGGCTTCATTTGCAAACGCACGGCCACTTTTTATTTTCTTCGACCGAGGAAGTGCACCCTGCAAGCATCGCGACTACGATCAGACGTTGACTGACCAAATTGGATAATTACCTCCACGCCACGTGATCACAGAAAACTACAGTGCCGAGCATTACAACGAGAATAAGGAGATCGTTATCCCGTCCTCGAAGAACATCCGCTGGACTTTACTCGCCAGCCGGACTGTTGTAAAAATCCTTAATTCCTATTTTCATGATACGCGTTTATTCCCTCTACGAAGGCAAAATTCATTCGCAGGAAGGGATATTCGAAAAGTTTCAATTTTTCAGCTGCTGACGAAGGTTTGCCAGACTCCCGGTGGTCACGCGGCCGTCTCGGAAGCCGTATCGACTTTGAGGCTAAAATACGGCGAAGGCGGAAGGTTCCGGTTCCTCGCTGGCGCACTCCTCGCTCCCAGAGCAGCGATTGCACTGAGAGTCGCAGGAGTTTCCTTCCTGAACGCCTTCCTGAAGTCTGCTCCGCGAACCCAAACAAGACTGTACATTCAGGTAAACGTATTGATCGATACTTTACGATTAGAACGAACCTCGTTACACTGTATTCGTCCACGATTCACAGGCCGAAGCCTGCGAAGCTGGATTAGAGCCGCAGGTCCTTCAAGAGTGGCTGAAAGAATTGGACGGCAGAGAGGAGGACGCTTTGAACGATCTTCTACATAAGGAGGTTCAGAAATGGACGCACAACTGCGTGGATGTGGACGCCCTGCAGCGAAGAGTCGTACGTGCCGAGGAAACTTGTAGGATTCTCAGCAAAAAGGTTTCGGCGCTGCAGACTCAGCTACAGCAGCTGCAGCTGGAAAAGCTGAACAATTACAACCTCGAGGATCGTGAGAAGATGACGTTGCTTGGCACGAAACAGTCACCGAAGGTGTCCTCGAACGCCGAGGACGAGGGTATCAGCTCCTCCGAGAGGTCGAGTAGTCCAGAGAACACGAAACACCAGTCGAGATCCAATCACCCGAAGATCAACCCGTCCCCGGATAACGATCAGGAAACGACGATAGAGGACGTGATCGAGGAACTGAGGATCATCGTGAAGGACGCGGAAGAGGAATTCGGCGACAAGAATCATGAACAGACTCGGATCGATCGTGTAGCGGATCAAGACTTTGCTCGCAACGATCACAGAGCTGGCTCCAAGATTTCGCTCGATAATTCCGAAGCTTATCTGTACGACAAAGTGTTGAAAAGAGATCATCAGACCGATCCAAAGATCCCGAAGTCTAACACGGATTCCAATGTGTCTCAAACCGTGATCAAAGGCGAACAGGTTACCTATTTCGGCAATGAACGTGATTATAGCATAGACTCGAATAGTACTAAGCGATTGAATGGCGAAACGCGACGAGTTTCGAAATCTTCCGTGGAAGGGAGCGTGAAGATCGTCATAAAAGGACCCGACGTCGAAGAAGCGATCGTCCCAACTATTCTACACCCCCAACCACCCAGAAGATCGCCACCATGTTTGTCGGCTATAATGGCTGTCAGGCACTGCGATTTCATCGACCACGAGGAACCGTACAATTCTCATGACGAGGATATCGAAGAGGAAACTCTGGGAGACGGTAGCGATTCTCTTCTCAGCGCTTCTCGACTAAAGTATAACGGCAAGAGTCAGCCATATGACGAACAGATCAGAAACACGGGCGTGGATCACTTTCAAAAGCATTGTAAAAAAGAAACGGAACACTGCAGTGAAATTAAGGCGAAGAAATCCTTGGACGATGTCCGGCATCATTTCGGTGAAAACGAGGCGAAAGACAAAAAACCGATACGGAATTATGAAAGTTCGTGCAGCGGGAAGAATAGAAGCAACGAGTCGAGATCGAGCAGCAAACAGACCGATGGGTTCGCGCAAAGACACGGATCCAAGTACAGAAGCGAAGTAGAGAAAAGGAAGCTTCTCCGTAGATCGTCGAGTCACGATTACCTCGAGTCCAGTGCCTCGAGTCCGCGCTCGAAGAGATCCTCAAAAAGCAGGGTCGAGAGTCACATAAGGAAATTTGAAAGTCTCAATTCGTTCGACGAGCACCGCAGTCTGCGAAGTTACGGAAGACCGGGTAGCTCTGAGAATTTCAGCAAAGAGGAGCAATTTTTCGGGGAAGAGAATTCGAGGAACAGGATGCGTAGGTCCGAATCCTTCCATCACGTATCCCACGTTTCTAGGAAAGAACGATGCTCCTCTCAAGGAGGAAGTGACAGCGGATTATTCTACGTGACCGACTTCAACCTGGATCCCCTGGTAACTCGAAAACCGAGATCCGTCGATGCCCCAAAGTCTCCCAGTTTGTTGACCAAGTCTTTGGATAGAATCGACGAAGGTTTGGATTCGATGGTGGATATCGTGATCACGGAGGAGAAAAATCAATGGAATTCGAACAAGTATCAATCGAAAACGAAGAAATCTCGGCAAGAAAGACAACTGGTTAGATCGAAATCGGGTAGATTGGAAGAATCGAGGAGTTGTTACGAACTTGAATCAAAAGAAAAAATGGAGGAATCAAGGAGCAAACATTTGAGGAACGATGAATTATATTCTGGACACGTAAATAACAAACAGCTGAGAAGCGACGAATTGTACGAAGAACAGAGAAATCGGGAATGGAATTGTCAGAATGAACAAAACTCTGTCAGAAAGAACGAATTAAACTTGAGTTGTACCCCTATGATATTAACGAAAAACGGCGTAAGACACAATTCTTTCAGCCAAAACGAGAGTATTGGAAATAAGTTTTCAAACAGATCCACCGATTCCGGTATTTTTGCTGGTCGAACTTATGACACTTTTGGTCTGGGGAAAAATCGATTCAATGCTGGCAAATATTCAGGAAATCGACAAGTGAAGGAAAGTCCTACCGGGAGAAGAAATACTACTCCATCGATTATTGGAAATCGTGGAAAGGTCACTGACGTTGTTTCAGGACTTTATTAATATTAAATTTGTACTTGAAATATTGTACAGTATTACTAAAATGTATTCTTGTACAGATTTTATACCTTCTAATGTCTTGTAGATGTTGAAAATATCTTTCATCGAATTCGATGCGAGCAAACATCGAAAGTGAAATGTAATATCATGTAGCTTTTAATAGTTGTCTCGATGAAACCAATACGATACTTGAGTGCAATATGTAGAAGTATTATCGGCAAAAGTTGAACACTTAATTTATATTGTAATTAATTCTGTTAATAATTGCGGTAAATATATACCAGTTTTCATAATGAAGATACATACATACGTGTTTCGGTGATGGACCAATTACACGATTTTAATCGGCTATACACGAATATATTGTATACATATGTATCTTTTTGTAACTACTATATCGCGCTAAAGACTGTAATTTATAAACACTTACAAGAACATGAACATAATATTTCTGAAGTAATGCAAAAACCAATTCATTCGATTTACTCACGCTGAAATAAAATTGTAAGTATCTTTGAAATTTAATAAAATTGTTGCCTTTAATACTGCATAGCTTTCTTCGGGATGAAAATAGAAATCTATAGTTACATAACATTTTTTTTATTTCTTATTGGTATAACAAACGTAAGAAAATAAGAAATACACTACACTTTCTCTATGTATACAAACATTTTTTTATGTATTTACATTTTCAACTAACGTATAATATGTTACGTTTATCATTTTCTGAATTATACGTTAATAATACTGAAAATTATTTAATATTAGGTAACTGAATCAGCATTTAAATGAAATGCAAAACAAAATGTATAACGCGGTGAAAATCGATGAAAAAATTCATAAATAGTGCTTAACATAAAGTCATGAGTTTAGAGCTTTAAAGGATGCGAAATAAAATTTTCGAAGTCATTAAAGTACATCTTATTATTTTAACTAGCTGTAGCGTGTAACAACGTGGTCGTAACTTCGCTCAGATCTTGGCACGAACGCCTGGTCCGATGGATAACTTCGAGATTGTTTAGCATCAAAGGTTCGTGAGATTTATCGCGTGTTATTTCTAAAAGCTGTTGCGACGATTTATCTACGAACAGGAGAAAATTAGAATATATAAATAATCATGTAATAATGAACTCAAGAGGTCAAACATTTTCACATTCCAACCTTGACAAGTTGTTAACATGTAGGAAAGTTCGTCTTGAGTCGATATGTATTGAAACTCTTCTCCGCAAGCTCCCTTAAGAACGGCTATAACATCCGATCGTGGATTGTAGAAATATAAAGCCTGTTTTCTACTATTGAATTCATTTATCAACGTAGCTATTCCCTATAACGAAAAAAATGACATTACTATCGCGTACGCGGTTTATCTTTCTATCATTTATATATTTACTTTAGCAGCAGTAAAATCAGCTCCGAGGACGTATCTACAATCAACTACGACTGGAAGTTGACTGAAACCCTGCTTTATAGCAACGTTTCCAACTGACTTTTTAATAAAATCTACGGCAGGGAAGTAAAGACTGTTCCCAGGTGTTACTAGCAAATAATCAATTCCAGAAGCAGTCTGCAATATTGAAAATTTATGTTTACCTAAAATCAAATGATGACTTGTTTAATCAACAGTCGATTATCTTTTCATTACTCACTGTACACTTATCAACGTGAACCGTAGGTCGTGCAGAAGGATATAATAAGAATGCAAGGTTTGTTCCTACACCTAGTAAGATTCCATATTCCACTCCAATAATCAAACAGAACAAGAATGTAACAAACATTGGAATTAAATCCTTTTTGCTACTTTTCCATATAAGCTTTATAACTTCATATTCAATCATATATATTACTGCACAAATAATGACTGCTGATAAAGAAGCTGCAAAAAATGATTTCTATTTAAGTATAACAAATATTTATGTCATGAATAAATTAAATGGCAAACATATTACCCTTTGGTATGAAGTAGAAATATGGTGTGAGTAACCCTAAAGCCAATAGTATTAATACTCCAGTGTACAAACCACCCATTGGAGTTTTTACACCGCTTGCATGATTCACTGCAGATCTACTGAAAGAGCCTGTAACTGGCATAGAGCTTGCACAAGATCCAAGCACATTACAAATTCCCAAAGTAATTAATTCTTGAGTAGCATCTACTTTTCCACCATTTGCAAAAGCTTTTGCAATTGCTACATTTCCAAGGACCCCGATCACAGGTACCAATGCTATGGATGTACCTAATTCTGAACACATTTCAATGAAACCAAATGTCTGATTCTTAACTTGCGTAGAGAAAGGGGGTAAACCAAAAGGTGGAAGACCAGATCTCACAGGACCAGTAAGAATAAATGGAGAACCAGAATCTGCAGAATTAAATATGTAAGCTATGGTAGAACAAACAATAACAACAAGAGCATTTCTAGCTGTTGCTATCAACCATATTATTTTTAATAGTATTCTCTGATATTTATGTGGCTTTTCATTACTGGATCCAAATTTGATGTCTTTCAATTTCTATATAATAACAAAAACATGTTTTACTTCCATCATTCAAAAAATAAATTGTAACAAATAAGCATTTTTATATTACCCTAAACAGCAGCAAAACAATGATGCAAGTGAAGCTCATGCCAGTATCCCATAAACTGGTACTGTGGATATTCTGGATTACTTTTGTTAAAGTATCTAAGAATCCTTGAGAAGAAATTTTTAATCCTAAAAGTCCCTTGAGCTGAGAAACTACAATTATAACAGATGTGGCTGAGGTGAAACCAACTGTGACTGGGATCGATATAAAATCTATAAGTACACCTACAAAATAATTATGTAGCTTAAGCATTTGTGCTTGCAACATAAATATAGAACATGATACATTACCTAAATGAAGGAAAGCCATTAAAAGTTGCAAACAGCCGCACAAAAAAGCTAACAATATTGCAAAATCAGCATTTCTACCCTGTACATATTCATGAGTCATCAATGCCATAAGTGCAGTGGGGCCAATTGTAATATCCTTGCATGAACCAAATATTATATACACCATGGCACCCATAAATGCAGAATACAGTCCATACTGCAAAAGACATAATATCATATTAGAAATTAGAAGTTGATGGAAAATTATTTATTAAAAAAAAAAATGATTCACCTGAGGTGCTAATCCAGCTAACGTTGCATAAGCTAGTCCTTGAGGCATAACGGTAAGTCCGACGGTAACGCCGGCAATGATATCATTTAAAAATTTTTCCGAATTATATTTTGGTAACCAGTCCACGATCGGTATTCGTTTTCTAATAAATTTAGTTAATCGACCGCTTTTCAATTGCCATTTTTTCTCGTCCATTGTTTCAAGGCCCATTATAGAAAATGTTCCTTTAAAAAAATCAAATTTGACGATGCAACCACCGATGCAACTATCGACACGCACAGCTTTTATAAAATTTCATGCTACATTCGAAGTCATGTGACGATTTTAATTTATCAGAATGTTACAGTAGCATCCGTTTATATCATATCATAAGATGATAAGAACCGAAGCATCCTTTTTTCTTTCTCTTTTTGAAAAAAATTGTGAAATTTTTTACCTGTGAAAGTCGGAACTTTCACCGAAGCGCAACAGCTTCCCACGCAACTTTTATATTTTCAGTTGGTCACCGTGCTATCGGAAGTCGTGACGATACGAATAAAGCGAAAAGGATATCTGATTCTAAATTTTCAATGTTTTCATTTCACGATATAACAAAGAACTGAAAGGCGTCGAAGGCCTTTCCGTTACTTATATACCCGAACAGAACGCAAAATTGGTCTCACATTTGCGGAGGAAAACTTACTGCTAGCCTTCATACTTTTTGCAGACTAATAAACTCGAGAGTAATCACGTGTATGAATAATCTTAACGTTCCACCGATTCAATAAACTATGATAAATAAAAATTCTTGACGAAAACAGAATTATCGTCCTCCATATAAAAACTCAACTTCGATTTATAAAAAAGAAGACAAAAACAAATGTCGAAGAAATTATGAATTGAATAAGTCGATAATTTTATCAATGTATCTCCTACTCCATACAACTTTTATCATCCTGAATTTATATAGTATTTCTAACTCGGTACAACACTGTCACGCATGGTAGCAGTGCATTTAATATTTTTATGTAATTTCATTTTAATTCTAATCGGTGATTATGACTGTAACGAGTGAAGGTGGTTTTTTGCTATTTTACGAATCGTTGAACATTTCGGCTGTACAGTAATTCTCAACATTGTTCAAATGCTATTTATTAACGAGGCCAACGTGCTTTATTAAAGGAATATAGCTACTTGACCCTTTCCATTGACAACTATCGTATACACGTTAAAAAAGTGTTACACGGTCACACGAAGAAAGATTTTATATAGATTTTCACGCGACAGTTAACTCAAAGTATCACAGTTCAATTTTAACAATCATTTAGAAAGAACATAACAATTTTATGATGCAAAAAGTATCATACATACATTTCCGTTCAACTATTCACCATCATTGAACATACGGTTAATCATTGCGAGAAGAATTTCATTCATGTAGATAATTTTCTCTATAAAAATTATCGATTGCATTTATTAGCGAGCATAACCTTTCTCAGAGCTAACTCCCTGCCATATTTTATTGACATCTTAAATATGCCATATTACAAATGAAAGTTGATGACACGCACTACTCGATCCATTCGCGAGGAAGAAATGTGCAATCAGTGTACCAATACCACGCGCCGAACGCCGAACACGATCTCACCATAAACTGAACGTAGGAATCGGTACTTTATACGAGATGGTTTCGAGAGAAAGTACAGTTTGCGTTCTTGTCAATAGAGGGACTGCATTTCTACGCTGCAGTCGGTAATTTAGAACAAACAAGTTCGGTTCACTGTTTCACCGAATAACAACCAATAAATTTTCAGTGTTTTCAAATGTCCTTCGAAGGGTGCGTTATTTGAATTTCAAAAACCGTGTTCCAGCCTTAAAGTGCCGTTTTCTAACTTAATATAATCCATAATCACGATTTATCGTACATGTCATGTATTAAAAATAGTGTCAAATAAAAGGGTTATATGAAAATCATCTTTTTTCTGTTACGTTTGAAAATTTTACTTTCGTTTGCATTTGCGCATCCTCTAGTATATCAGTATTATGGCGTCCTGTACGATGGTTGGATGTTCTTTCTAATCTCCGTATATCAAATGGAAGACAGTTTTTTCCTGCAGAAGATTCTGTTTTAATATTTCGATTTTCATCAGCAAATTTAATATACGGTAACTGGATAATTTACCATCCTTGTAACTTTTTGTGAAAGTAATTTTATATTGAAGAATCTACAGAAATTGAACATGTTCATCCGGTATCAATTGCGTCGTAAATGTACTATAATTTAGTTTTTTATCTTTGTGTTAATTAAATACAACGTAAATTTAAAACTGATTCGTTAATTAATGCTCGTTATTTTTTTTACTACTCCTCTTGTTTCGTCTATTAAACAAGTTGAGGTAGCATGTTACTTTAAGCTATCACGAAAACTGTGTCGTTCTGTTATTTCATTATTTTGTACGATTCTGTTGTAATTCATTGCAACAAATGTAAGCATTATATCTATAATTATTCCTAGACGTTTGAAATTTGATAAACTCTTAGTCTTTGATCTAAATTACTTACAAAATAACGTTAAGCCATGATTTTCTGTGAAGAATTATATTTAGTTTTTGTAAATAAATTTCTGTTAGGTAAAATGGATTACACTGATACAGATTTACAAAAAGCATGCGATACCAAGCAGATGGCCATAATCGGCAAGATACATAATATGCCATGGCTAAAAAGTAATTCTCAGTTATCAGGCCAGTATGTTTGAATTTATTTCATATATTTTAGTTTATTTCATTCTTTGTATTTCTATATTATCTTATGTTATTTATTAATAATTTCTTTTATAAAAGACAATATACTACAAGTAAGATATTTGTAGTCAATTGCTATGTGGTATATTTGTATTGTTGATAATTATTGTGACATGTTTGTTGATATGATAAACATTGTAATGGTATGAACAAATTGTTGCTGGGTGTTAGGGTAACTCTATATGTAATGATTACAAAATGTTAGGAAACGATTGAAACAAATACATTTATTAATCTTTGATGTTCATGTTTGTATTATAGCGTAAAAACGCTTCAAGGTGGAACAGAATTAAAAAATAATTCATTCAAAAGTAAAATAAATGAAGAAACAAAAGAAAGAATTGAAATTGTTTCAACTAGCACCGTTTCAACTAGTCCCAAAGTAAATCACATTGATAACGCTCTAATTAAAAACTTAAATGAAGACGATAGTATTATAAGTAAAGAAGAATTTATTAATTTACCTCAAAAAGACATGGAGACTGTTTGGAATGAAGATGTTAATGTACCTAGTACATTGTTTCCAAATTCTCAGTGTTTGGTTATGCAAAGATTGGATGAGCAGGAGAGGATAAGTATGACCTTGGCAGAGAGTATTGTTACAGTTCAGCTAGATCAATTTAGGCTTACCGAACAGGAACAAAGTAAATCAACTGATTCCCATAATGAAGCTGATAACGAATGGTAAGTAATGGGTCAACTGAAAAATTACAATTGCTGCATTGTATTGTTATCCTTCATTTTACATATGCAAATTTAATGATTAGGGATAGCGTTAATGGTATCTCTAACTTGCCAAAGTCGGACAGCGATTTAAGTAATCAAGTAAGTTCAAAGCAGTGTCACGACAACAATAATAATAATGCAAAATCTAAAAGTCAATCCACAGTAGAAACAAAGAAGGCCATGCAAAAAACAACAAAAGTTAATACCAAAAAATTAAATGAGCAAAAGACTAAAAAACAATCTGGTGAGCATTCTGTTTCTGAACTTGATTTTAATATTACAGAACACAAATTTCATGGAGTACATATTTTTCTATTGCAGGCAATTCTTTGAAAGAACCTTATGATATTTCAAAACAAGGTTCTAAATCTAAGGATGACTTGTTGAATTTATGTAATGATGAAAATAAAACTTCAACTTCTACCGGAGAGCCGAAAAAAATAAGCGTTGGAATAAGTCCTAAATTTATCGATAAATATAATGAAGTTAATGGATATAATAAACAGTTAATTATGGGAAAGGGGACGCGAACGAAGGAGCAACAAGTTTTTAAACCACATTTTTCTACATTTAATGATAGCGGTAATAATAGCAGATCCTCTATAGGAGGGTTAGATGACAAATCTAAATCTGTTGCTACAAAGTTAAAAGTATCTAGAAACGAATCAGATAAAAAGGGCAATGAATTAGATGATACAAAAAAGTGTCATAAAGTTCAAATAGCACGCACTCAGTCATATAATTATCAGTATATCAGAAGTAAACCATCGGTAAAATCACAACAACAACAGCAACGATATTTAAAGAACGTAATTAAATCAGAAGAAACTAGTTCAATTAAAAATATATCTGACTGTAATAATACCGCGTCTACTTCAATCGAGAATTCGTCTAAGAAAAAATGTGAAAGTCAACAGAGTATAACGAATAAGCAAGTTAGCGATATACATTCGACTCACAGTATTTCCGGGAAAAGTATTAAGAATTCAAATGTTCCAGAATGCAGTATAAGCGAAAGGAATGCCGGAAAGTCAAGCTCTGTCTCGTGTAAACGAAATTACCAAAACTTAGCTAGCGCAAAAAATATCGTTGAGAGAAATGTTAAAGATGATCAAACGCATACGCAAAAATTTAAGAGAGATTCTAACGTTTACAGACGTTCATCAACCGTTATCCCGACATTTTTTAAAGATTTAAGCGGACACGCGAAAACAGAGGATAGCAAAAAGAACGTTAGCGATAATAATTCAGCAAAGGATTATAAAGTAAAAGCTGTCAGCACGGCAGATGCAAAAGTACATTGTGAATCAGAAGGCTCAAGAGTATCAGTGTACTCGCATAAGACAAGTAATGGTGCTAGTAATATAAACAAGACTGATACATTAGATTCGTCTACTGTAAATAATGTACAGTCTGTAAAGTCATTAAATTCTTGTTCAGACAACACCAAAGATTCTATAATTGTAAATGTGTCACAAGAATTACAAGTTTCGCAAGTCTCTTGCAACAAAACTGAAGTACAATTTGTGAAGACTGAACAAGAAAATACTAGTAATAATAATAGCAATAATAAAACAAGTACTAGTAATTCAGATACCAAATCAGTTAAATTCTCGGACAATGTTCAAGAAATTAATGTGATGCATCGATCAACGCCATCGTATTCAGATAATTCTATGCATCAAAATAAAATACCAATTAATCCATTTTATTCGAATTTACAAAATACATCTAACACGAGTGATGCTCAACAAATGGAAAACCATCAAAACGTACAAAATAAGAGTTATTTCGATAATAATGCTGCTCAATATAGTAATACAACAACCAATATGCAACATACCGAAAGAGATTTACAATTGCTGGATGTGGTACAACAAAAACCAGAACAAACTTCTCATATGACTCCACAGAATGTGTTGCCACAAAATAACAGTAACACAAGCATTGTAATGGGAAATAGATTACCTTATCAAAGTATGCCTGCTATGTATTTAAACCAGTATAATAATACACAAAATGTACCAAGGAAAACGGCCGACAGTACAATCATTTCTCAAAATGCGTTAATTTCAAGTACCGCTTCTTACAACGTAGAAAGTCAAAACGTTTTACAAAATGATCCTTCTAACATTCTGATGCATAATACTCAAACGTCTGTTTTACCGCCGCCAGGTTTTCACAATCATCCTGTAACTACCCAGCATAATCAATGGAATGTGCCGTTTCCGGATATGTTTCTGTTTGGAAATATGATGAATCCAGTTCCTCCTATGAACGTGCAGCTTCAAAACTCCAGACACGTGTGTGGCACAGATTACAACAACATCCAACAAACGGGTTATTTGCAGCACCCAATGTTTTACGTTCCGCCAATATGTATGCAGAGTTGGAATCCTCTATTGCAGTATCCCGCGCCTTTGTTTCAAAATTCTCCATATGCTAATTGCAACACGTATCCTAATCAAGTATTATCATCACCTAATTTGGTAGATTCCGCTAATTGTCCCGTTTCAACGTCAATACAAAACAATACGTACAAACATTTTCAGCCAGTGCAGCAAATAGAGAATCCCCCAAACTTCTCTGTACCCGTTAAACTCGACAGTTACATGGGAAATATACAAGGGTGCAAGTCGAATAATATCAGAATGAAAGATAACTCGATGGACGCTCACGCGAGGGTGAATCAGTACCGAGCTCCACTGCCAAACGAGTATCAAAATTGTTCTCAAGATGGTCAACTGATGGTGCCGTTCTCCTATGGAATCGCGATGGACTCGATGGCAAGAAATTGCCCACCAAACGTGCACATGCAAATGAGTCAGAAGTATGCACCGCACGCCCTAACTACCGCTAATTATCAAAGAATGCCAGAGACCTGTTCGCCGTTCCAAAACAATCAGGACTCCCACAATAGGAAAGATGACGTATCCAAAAATGATTCAGATTGTATACCGCCAATGGTGTCGCCAAGGGAATGCATGTATTACGGAGTCAATTACTCTCGCAAGACCGATACGGTACAGCACTCGTCCCTGCGGTCTGACATGAAACCCGTTACATACAATATTCATTCGATAAACAATCAACATTACGTTCCGCAATATCAAAGGAACAACGCGATTTATCATAACTCGACACCGAAAGAACTTTCAACCAGGGTAACTATGGGTCGCGGTATACGGAAAACAATGGATCAGTAAGCGTAGAAAAAGAACGAGTACCATAAAAGCCATGCATACATGCTACATCTATATTTATTTCCTAAATCGTTATAAAAACCGTTACATACTTACTTTTACGATTACTCATCCATTTGTATCATCGTTATCTTCGCATATGTATATGTATGTATATTGCAGAGTTTAGATTTTTCATTTATTCCATTAATCTAGAATCTACTTGTATACACACACACACACACATACATTCACACATACTAATACACGCACACACACACACATGAATACGCACACACAGATATCACGTACATCGTGTTAGATGTTTCGCATTATTAGAAATAGTTTCCAAAGTTGAAAAAAAATGTAAAAGAAAATTTATACGATACTGCCATTTGTCGGGAATATTATTATAATAGCTTTTCTGATTTCCTGTCACAACAGTATGAAAGTAGCAGATCTATTTTCTAGATTTTCTTCAGATATTTATATCCACATTGCTATAGAGATCGATGTTACTCGTTACTTGGATTCTATGTACTTTTTAAATAACGAATAATCCGAGCGCTTGTTTCGGGGCGTAAAAAGCGCGAAACGGCAACGCACAGTATTTCAGTGCAAAATTCTCGGGAGAACACTTTTTTAAGTTCCTATGATCGAAAGTATTACGACCACTTAGTATTTAGTTCGCGTTACGAAAATTTTCCGCTCGTTCTCCTTTTCCTTTTTCTTTGTTTCTTAAAAAAAGAACGTTGCGTGTTATGTTTAAGTATCTTATAATTAATATTAGTTCTATGCGATCTAATACGGTAATAGTATCGAACAATTTGATTTTTATGACAACGTTGTCCAGATTATTTCATTCGCATTTTTATTTTTTCGATTTATTTCTTCGTTTCAATTTGATTTTGAGGCAAAGGATTTTTATATAACATATATATCCGAGCGATTTATTTTTGTTTAAATATTACTTATATTGTTAAGAAATATCATATAGTTTATTTTTCGAGGACTTACAAGTTTTTACAAAATAAAACGTAAACTTGCCGTACTTGATAGATGTTATATATATATATACATTATACTATAATCCCTCAACATATTCTGATATGCATTTATAACCACAGTATTATTCTTTCATCTCTATTAAAAAATGCACGTGTCAATAGTCTTTTTGAAATAGAAAAAGCAAGTAATTTCTTATGAACTACGTCATTGCTGATCGATTCATATATCTTTATAAAAAGTTACAAAAACGTACGAATTATCATATAATTGAAATATCATAAATACACGTTAATAGTCATTACGATTTTATACGATATCGTTGATAGTCTTATAACTCGAATTTCATTATACTATTAAAGAGGAAAACTGCTAGGGATAAACCGGCAGAAATTTTCAGTAGTCTTCTTTTCCTAATTCCAATATGTACTTATTAACATTTCGCGATGATTTTAAAGTTTCGTACTCGTGTGTTCGTTCTTGGTAGCAATGACAGTTTTTCCATTGGACATATCTAGTAGTTCTGCGCCGATTTCTCGCGTTCGTTTGATCGTGTTCCATTCTTTCAAAGCAGCCATCATTTCGGCGTCGGTATTGACTACTCTGATAGGTTCCTCGGAAAGCGATTGAATGCTTCGTAAAATTTCTTTGGAGGGTCGTAACATTATCAAGTTATGATTCTTCTCTTTGAAGTCTCTCATCACCATGTTCAATCCCTGTAAATGTTACAAATCGAAGAAGAAGGTTCAAACGAAATCACGAAATGTGTTCAAATCTGTCCTAGATTTTACGTCTTTGAGCGATCGCGAACAAACAAACTTGTATATTTTTTCTTCGTTATTCTTATAAAGTGGATAGAGAAATATTTAATACGAAGATCGATCTATTTTTGTTCGGTGGAACGGTAAAGATGCTACTGATCTAACTTTATTGGTTCAAATACGAAGAAAAGGAAGAGGGAGCACGAAGAGGTAAAATCCAGGCCAAATTCGAAATATTTTGTTTAAAATAAAAATCGCTCGTACGTGCGCCGCAGTGAAATCAATTTTGTCGATGTGTTTGCAATCTAACACGACCACGTTCGAGTTCTTGAAGGTTCTCAGTAATTTATGCTGGTTGGTAGCCAAGTTCTCGAGCAAGTATATCCTCAGATACTCCACAGCTGGGAAAAGCAAACCGGCACTGGGCTGCACGAGGATGTAACTTAACGTAGGCGTCTGCAGCGTAGAACAAGAAGAATAAGAAGAAAGAAGAAGAAGCAAAACAAAGGGATATTTTTAAAACTAGCAATCTTTCAGAGTCTTCGTCGATCATTGTTATGTACTTACATTTCTGTATTCGATATATATTGTCGGCCTGGCGTTGAAATAAATTAATATTGCCAGATCAATCAGTACCCCTATTAAAATCCCAAACTCGACACCGGCGAACAAGCATGCGAGGAACGTTGCTAGAGTCGGTATTAAATCTCGTTCTGAAATAACGTTTAAGCGTAAAATTAATGACTTGAGTTAGTTTCTGAAAAAGATTTTTATTTCGATATTACGACGAATTCCATCGAATCGATACAACGCGTACGTTGCTATACAATGGTAATATATTTTTGAACTTACTACTGCATTTCCAAATCGGTCGAATTATTTGCACCTCGATCATGAATATTACCGCGCAAACAATTACGGAACTCAGGGTGGCTTTTGGAATATAGTAGAAGTACGGGGTGAGTAAACTTAGAGCTAGAATGACTAGAACACCTAGCATAGAAATTTCGTTTACTTTTCCTGTTCCATCCATCAACGTTTCTATAGAGTTATGAAAATTTTGTTTTACCCGTGTATATGCCGCCGAATGGTGTTCTTACACCCGAAGCATTATTTACGGCGCTTCTAGAGAAAGAACCGGTAACCGGCATCGATTGGAAAAAGGAACCGGCGATGTTGCATAAACCAAGGGTCAACATTTCTTGGGTAGCGTCCAGAGACTGTCCTCGTGCTTAACGGGAGTAGTAGTAGTCGATTAAACTTTTTTAAAGGTAGCGCGCTTAACGGAAAAAGTTATATAGGAAACTCACAGAACGCTTTCGCGATTGCCACATTTCCAATGATCGAGATCAAAGGGACGATCACGATACCAGTGCCTAAATTTTTGCACATGTCGAGGAAAGTCTCGGTCCCGTTACCAACAGTTCTGGAAAAGGACGGAGGCGCGACGGAAGGTAGTCCCGCGTCGATATGTCCTGTAAGGACAAACGGAGCTCCACCATAGATCTCGTAGACGTACGACACTACTGCGCACACGATCACGACCAAAGCGTTTCTACCAGTTCCTAGGAACCAGATTGATTTTCTTAAAATTTCATTGGAGACCTTCAGGTCTTTCACTTTCTGCAACGAAAAGAAGAAAAAAAACACGAACCGTATATCACGGGATACCTTTTACCATCAGTTTTTGTTACAATTTTTACACGTTCGCGGAATACCTAGAAAAACTAAGTTGTACGGCGATTTACCTTCAAGGTCAATAGAATTAGAATGCAACAACAGGATAAGATCAGGTCAGGTATTCTGGTCTGACCCACGTTGTTGGCCAACAACTTCCAAAGGTCCACGAAACTTTCTCCGTGTATTTTTAAACCGAGCAAATTTTTGATTTGACTGCAGGCGATAATGACACTGGCCGCTGAAGTGAACCCGCTGACAACAGGTATGGAAACGAGCTCGACCAGGAAGCCTAGCCGGAGGATTCCGAGAACGACCGTAACACATCCTGACAAAAAGCACAGGAGAATCGCGTACTCTGGAATGCCTCTGTGAACAACACGAAAATTAATGAAATGTAATAACTGTACTTACTCTTGCTACGGTCTTTCATTAATTGGAGGGCAACGGAGGGTTCGATGATCTAACACGTTTCGTCAGCTCGCAAATTGCAGACACGAGTTAGATATCACGCGACGAATACTCTCGCGATAATTGCTTTTCAAGGGTTAATAGCATCCTTTCAACCGCTATTAAATAATATTGGTTGCCATCCCAATTGCTCGCGGTCGTTACTCACGAGCAAATTCAACTATTATGTCAACCGATTAAGATCCGTCGTTCACTGGTTATCAAATAAAAAGTTATCAATATTGCACAGGAAGCACCGTCGTCGTTCGACTCGATAGGGATGCAAGAAATAATCGCTCACCTCGCGTACGTGTACGTCAACAAAGAGATCAATGCGGTTGGACCAATATTGACTTCACGACAGGTACCAAAAATGATGTACACGAAGCTACCGGCGAACGCGCTGTAAAGACCGTACTGTGGCGTTAGCCCTGCCAATCCAGCGTACGCGATTGCCTGTAATCGAAATAGTAGTTGGTCGTTGCGTTGAATCGTGACACATTGTTTCGCCGTGATAAAATCGTGCGTTCCTTGGAAAGTACCTGCGGTATTAAGGTCAGGCCCACTGTCAGGCCAGCAACTAGGTCGCCCAACGCGTCGCTTGCTTTATACAAGGGTAGCCATTTCAGAATAGGAACTCTGTTTTTCAGTAGTTTCTTGATATTCAATCCGGTCATGGTTTTCGTGTTTCCTCGTCGCTCACCAGTTGATTTTCTTCTAGTGCATCCTTTCTCGTTTCACATCTGTACAGAAAGTCTTTTTCATTATTTTATTTTATTATTATTACTTTCGATTATTTCTCGGTTTTATGAAAAGTGTCGGCACAAGGAAAATTTCGATTACTACTCGATCGGTGGACGTGCTCGATCATTATGCAACCGACACTGTCAACCGCTAATCGTACGGATTTTAAGATGCAATTGGTGAAGACAGGCTTTTGACGGTAAGGCATCGTGTTGCGACGAGTCACATGATCGGCGACCATGTGAAACCGATCGAAGCACGTGATTGTCCTATTTCTTACTTCCTGACCGCAATTTATTTCGAATGCGCGTTCGTCGCCTCCGTCCACTTTATCACTAAAAGTGTTGCTACCGTTTCCATTTGTCATTAGCACAGAAAACGTAGACGGCAATATCGCCGACAATTTCAAATTCTAACGTTCCACTATATCATGCTCAACGATGGTCGACGCGTTGTTTCTTTTATTCGAAATTCACTTATTGCTCGCGAACGATGCTATAACCGGAAGACGACGAATTCGAAAGGAACAGGTCGACCGAATCGTCGGGACGTTCGGAGCTTACCAATTGATGCGTCCTCTCGTACCTGCTCTACACTCTGATTAAATCTACAGCTGTTTCACACGTGCCTCTGCTCTCCCTCCACTCGAACAACCTGCTGATACGTCGTCCAGGATACGAACGCATGCGTCGCCCCTCTAAATGGTCATTGGCTTCGGCAAACCCAAATCATCGACAATTTACCGAACAATTTGTCTTTTCTTTACCGATCCACGCTCGAATTTTTATTCACGCAGCTTCCTGCTGGGTGTTTTCCATTCCGACGCCACGGTAATCGTCGTCGATTGGCTTTGAAATTGGAAACGAGCTTTCGAATTCTCTACGGTAATTTAATGAAAATTAAACGATCGCCCGCACGTCAGTACCGTCACGCGTTCAAGAAGAAAATAGAGAAAATTTTGCTGCAAGACGATCGCGAAGTATCGTTTCATAGAAGATGGAAAGTAAGTTTTAGGACAGTGACGAGTTGGCAACTGGTAAAAGTTGTCGTAGCTCTACGATTACGTGGTAATGGTTTACGCCAGAGGTGGAATACATTAACCAGTTAAAGAGAAACAAACAGATCGTTTAAAAAACAAACAACGCTGTACGCTCGATTGTACTAGCTTCTTCATCGATTATCATGGAATGCGTCGAACGTTTACACGATCCGCGAGCGACAACAACGCGTACCGGTACGATCTTCCATACTGTCTCTATTTTTCCTTTTTCTCTCAAATCTTTTTTACCCGTTTCGGTTTTTTATCCCGAGAGAATGGTTGAAATTCTTCGCGTGTCGGGCACCGCGTGCATGTTTGTAATTACAAGGACGGTCCGTGTTCTTGAATGACGATATGTTTTGCATGTTAACGTGCTACTCGTAACACGTTAACACAAAAAGTAACATTCGACGTTCCGCGAAGATAATATGTTTCTTTCTAACAACTTTATCCATAACTATAATATTCCGAATCGAACGAAATTCATAATTCATACGCATCAGAAACGTATGTCATCGAGTTGTTTCGAATGATAAATGGAAGTGACATGACCATAAAATGCAATATTATTTACGGATATCCAGTATTGATACAGCTGAGACGAGATCATCTTATGCAGTCGTCATAAATTCATAATCGTCCGGTATTCCCCGAACAAGAGGAAAATAGTAACTTTTGGAATCGCTGTAAGTAGAAATAATTGACTTGTTAAGACTATTGCTACGGTACTGTCTGATTTAGTTAGCGTGCAGTCTCGGCAGTAATTGCGATGTGAGAATTATCAATGAAAACTGAACGCGCTAAGAGCTGTTAACGCGTTAACATTTATATTTAAGACGAACTTCGCAATTAATCCAGCGATCCTATTTTTAATAATTACAGTCTACGTTCCTTTAAGTGTCTTAGCGTTGCAAAATGCAAAATTTTTACCATCCTGTTCATCAGACTGTCCGACACTTGGGACAATATTTATATTGTTTGTTATTTGCGAAATCAATTGTGGTTTCTATAAATACCCGCTGGACCGACTGTCAGAAGTGCAGAGTCACGAAAACAGGCTATGAACTCATTGTTTAAAAGGTTTTAATAATTTCCATTGTAACGATTTCTCGGCTAAAAAAAGATTATTTAAGGAGTAAAAAAAGTTACTCCGGAAAACGGTAAACAAAAACGTCCGTTGTAAATTAAAATGTTGAGCGTGTCGTGGCGGAGTAATTTGTGATGTAATCAATAGATTTCTCGGAAACGATAGGAGTAATTGCAAATTACTCGTTGGCAGATCAGAAGATCACGTAACTAGATCCATTCGTTGAATCGTAATTCTAACTGAAATACACTAGACGTCGAAGAACTAGTAGAATAATGTCTAATTAAACTTCTTAATTAACGCTCACGGTATATTTTATTCATGATACTGTAACGAATGCAAAGGATGAAATGATTAAAGTCAGTTTATTTTTAAACGGAAAGTTAGCGACAGACTCTACCCATGATCTAACTAGAAGATAATGGCCGTAAAATTCCGAAAAATGCTCTAAATTTATGTTTACAATTACCACTCGCTAAAATTCTTCTAGACACGAATCATTAGTTAAGCTCACAACCACCTGAATATCTTCGGATAGAGCGTAGAGAAACGTTCTAAGAAGCGAATGCTAAGTGCAGACACTTTTTTATTAGCGTCTGTTAATCATCGAAGTATCTAATGCAATTACTGAACAGAATAATAAATGAATTAACGATTCTAATGATAAACTTCTATTTTATAAAGAGTAGAAAATAAATTGTTTAAAGCAATTTAAAAATCGTCTTACTTGCAGTATTTATTCATGACCTTTATATTGATAATATTCAATGAATAGTTATTTTCCGATAAGATCGATCGAAATTAATAGGAACATGGTGCGTAACTTGATTGTTCGACATGATGCCTTGCCGTATTTCGATTCCTGATAACAGGATAACAGCATAAGCAAAGAGGTAGCACAAACTTCGTATCACCAACTTTGGTTATATGCTCCTGTTACTTGGTCTAGCCGGACGCACGGAGAGCATGATGTAAGGAAGTATGGCGTCGTGCTGCTGTTTTCCCACCAAATGTAAGGGGTTATAGGTAAGTAGCAGAAGAATCCTTGATTACTCTATTATTAGAGTAATGAATTAAACTTTTATAATTGATTCTGAAAGTACAACGTCTGGCGAATTTTCTAATATCATATTCGGGCATATTTTTGTGATATTTACTGGCTTATCAGCAGTTATTACATTGATTGCGTAAAAATGTACTCTACACCTTGTACTTGTGTCTAATGAATTTCCTGTTAATTTCATTATAAATTAGAACAATTTGCAACTTTATGATTGTAACGTAAAAAGAAAAGTTCAATCTGCATTCCTTAGTCGTCTACACGAATATAAGGAAAATAAAAAAATGAATATTTCGGCACTTTGACGACGTAGTATGGTTCCTGAGGGATTTAGAAACAAATTTCTATTAGGGTTTGATGCGTTTTGATGCCTAATAAAGCCAGAAATTCAATTTCTGTCGAATTCGGGCGAAAACGTTTTGATGCCTAATAAAGCCAGAAAATCAATTTTTGTCGAATTTGGTCCAAAACGGTACAGGTGGCGCCATCTAGCGGCGAGCGGCGAAACTACGAAAAACTAAAATTTTGATTTTCTCCGAAATTAGGCAATTTTACATATTTCTGAGGGTCGGAAATTGTTCTGTGGCCTGTCTAGAACCTATATAATGCCACAAGAACCTCCTCAGAGCGCTAGAAAAGAAGATAGAAAAATAGGTCAAGAAAAATAGCCCATTTCATGGACTAAAAAATTGGCGTCCATCTAGCGGTGAAAGTTGGAACTACAAAAATATAAAAATGCAATTTTCTCGAAAATTAGCGAACTTTGAGTACTTCTGAGGATCAGAAAGTGTTATCTGATCGCATTAGAAGCAAAATAATGCAATAAAATCATCCTAAAGGCGTTAAAAAAGAATATAAAAAAAATGTCATTTTATGGAGAAAATTTGTGGCGCCATCTAGCGGCGAAACTGCGAACTAAACTGAAAAAACGTATGTCCGAACACGCATTAAGGAAAAATATAAAAAGTAATATTTCGCAACTTTGACGACGTAGTATGCTTCTTTAGACATTTTAAAGCAATTTTCGTTGAATAAGTTA